TTAACGAGCAGGTGGCCAGATTTAACCCTTCTCAGCCCAAAAGAGGCTCATCTCCAATCATGGCAACTCAAAGGAAAAGAAAGAAAAATTTACCACTATGGGGCTCCAGCCTCCACATGCAGAAATCAAAGTCCTTACAAAATGATTTCATATTTTTTAGATCCAGTTAAACGTCAGTGCCCTCCAGTCACACAAAAACCCAGACAACATAAGGTAACACAAATGTTTTAATAGCTTTAACGTGACCATAACTCTTCCTTTCTACAGGAAAAACTAAATGTCACATTTTCCACATCTGTTTTACTGTTAAGGATGAAGCGAAGGTCTCCATCAGTTCACCTGGGTCTGAATTTATAAGCAGTGCTTTGAAATCCTCAGCAATAAATAAAGAGGATCTGGCCAAACGTACAGAGCTTCTGGTCTTAGACAAAAAAGAACATCCGCAGGAAAAGCAGGGTAAATATTTGCCTTCAACTAGAGTAGAACACATTTCTAATTTCTTATTTTATATTTTTAAATATTAAAGCTTTCTGTCCCCAGATGATATTCCTAAATGGGAGAGAGAGCTGCAGGAGGAGCTGGAGGAGTACGACGTGTTGGCAGAGAATGAGATCCAGGATGAGGCCTGGGACAGAGAGATTGAAGAGATGCTTCATGAGGACTTTGAGAAAATCTGACATCCTAAACAGCTTGATGAGGACAATGATGGAGAGGAACCATGTAATATAGCAAGGTTTTTGATGTGACCATCAGACAAACTTGCACAGAAGACTTGACCACATTTGGACCTTGCATTTGATGAAGTCAGGTGTGTTCATTAGTTTAATGCCATATTATTAGCCTCCTTCAATAATCAAAGAAAGAAAACCTGACATTGAGATATTTATACTTAAACATTTTCAGACAACAATCTGTGTATCTGAGATTAATGGTGGTTACATGTTGCAAGATGTTTTATCTAGAATGTTCATCGGGGCAGCGTCTGTCTACAATGACAAAAATCAGTGTGTATAAATGGTTAAAATAGTGAAAAACACCGGACCTTACCTCAGGAACAAACCCAAACCTGGAAGCCACAACTGATGATGGACCGACTGCAACCATGTGCAGCATAAAGATGTTTTACAACATTTTGAATAAATTGACCTCACAAATTTTATGGAGTTCGAAAGTCAGTTCAATTGAGGGCAAATTTTAACTCACTGCGTGATATTTGTACTTATTCTTTTTTTTAAAGTATCTTTTTTGACCCTGTAACACCAAATGTATCATACTTAATAGACAAGTTTTTGGTATTTTATTTGTTACATGATTAGTGTAATTTTTCTTCTTAATCCACTCAGTGAAATACTACAAAATGTCAAGCCAATAGTGTTATTGGAATCCAACAAAAGTGCCTCTATAAGAAATTTGTAAAAAAAAAAAAAAAAACACATACTTGTTTGGTACAACATCATCTGTGACTCCCTTTGTTAGGCGTATGCAAATGATCAAAAGCGGTTACTTGCCCTGTAAAGGGTTAAAATAAAAAATGTGATGTATACAATAAGATGCAGTGCACAGAAAACCCACCAGGGGTCAGAAGATGACCTTTACTTACAACAAAAATGTGCAAAACCACAACAGATTCTTTAGGAATATCGGACCCCGTACAAAAACCGTTCAAGAAAATGTGTTCTTAAATTGTTCGTACGAGTGATTTACGTGAAATATCTTCTTTCTGGTACAAACAAATTTTACGAGTGCTCCAGAACTGATGTATGAGTCTTGTGCAATCAGCAGAGGTGTCAACTAACGAAATACAAATACTGCGTTACTGTTCTTAAGTACACTTTTTAGGTATCTACAGGTCCTTCTCAAAATATTAGCATATTGTGATAAAGTTTATTATTTTCCATAATGTAATGATAAAACTTGAACAGTCATATATTTTTGATTCATTGCACACTAACTGAAATTTTTCAGGTCTTTTATTGTCTTAATACGGATTGTTTTGGCATACAGCTCATGAAAACCCCAAATTCCTATCTCACAAAATTAGTATATCATGAAAAAGGTCTCTAAAGTAGCAATGCACCTAATCATCTGAATCAACAAATTAACTCCAAACACCTGCAAAAGATTCCTGAGGCCTGTAAAACTCCCAGCCTGGTTCAATCATGGGTAAGACTGCCGACCTGACTGCTGTCCAGAAGGCCATCATTGACACCCTCAAGCAAGAGTAATGACACAGAAAGATATTTCAGAACCAATAGGCTGTTCCCAGAGTGCTGCATCAAGGCACCTCAGTGGGAAGTCTGTGGGAAGGAAAAAGTGTGGCAGAAAACGCTGCACAACGAGAAGAGGTAACCGGACACTGAGGAAGATTGTGGAGGAGGGCCGATTCCACACCTTTGGGGACCTGCGGAAGCAGTGGACTGAGTCTGGAGTAGAAACATTCAGAGCCACCGAGCACAGGTGTGTGCAGGTACAGCAAATGTGAATACTTTTGACACCACTGGCAATCCGTCAGCTTTTATTCAAACCTAGCTTTCACTAAATGGCTACTTTTGTTTTTACTTAGAAGCAAGTCACTCCACCTGCAGCTCATACAGTACGAGTGTGTATTAAAAGGAGATTTTGAAGAATGTTGTTATGTTGGTTGATGGTGAACCCATATGAAGCTGTTCTCACACTGATTCCCTGCTGCTTCTGCTTGAGCTCCGGAACGCCATCTCCCCTTACCTGTGTTGGTCCAGGTGATTCATCCCCCTGTTTTGGGCCC